ATTATACAAAACTATTTAAGACTCATTTAACAATTGCCAATACATTTTCTGTGTCTGCATAGTTAAATTTACCTAAATATTCTGATAACATGTTCACACATTTTTTATTATTGAGGCTGTATATATTTAGTATTCTATTAATTTTATTGTATAAAAAAGGTCCTAAAAATAAATAAAATCTATGAACAAATGTGTGACTAGCTTGAGGCCTGCTACACACTATGTCCTTCCTTCTCTTATTTGATGGTATGGGGTTATAGGGAAGTTCAGTATGCTGTTTTAGAATGCTGTGCAATATAAATAACTGTCGGACTGTTAGTACATTACATGCAATGTAAAGCTCGTGTGTGGGAAATATAAATGGGCGGAATGTCGCCACCTTAAGAATGGCTCTTTGAGCGCGCTCTAAAGGCAGTAATATTGACTTTGCTGCACCACCCCATGAAGTAATGCAATAAGTAAGTATTGATTGACACAACGATAAATAGACTTGCCGTAATAATGTGTAATCGGCTACACTGCGAAGACTCTTAAATATATATATTAATTTTCGTACCCTTGTACATAATAAGTCAACGTGTTTACGGAAATTCAAATGCTGGTCAAGGATGACACCTAGATATTTCACTTCATCGGAGTTTGCTAAAGCAGGGCAGGTACACGCAAAGTCAGCAGATACTTTGCAACTATGTGCGTATATCTTTGGACTAATTATAGGTATGTTTGTACCCCTCATTGAAAATATAATGTATTTGGTTTTATCTGTATTTAGGGTTAGTAGATTTTTATATAGCCAGTTAGTCACTATGTTAAAGCCTGTCTGAGAGAGCTCAAAAACCTCACTACGAGATTTCGCTGTAAATAATAAAGCCGTGTCATCCGCATAAGATATTATGACACCACTTGGTATCTTCAGGCTGCAGAGGTCATTGATATAAACTAGGAACAAGGTACAGCCCAGAACGCTGCCCTGGGGAAAACCATAGCCAGTATTCTTTGCTTCAGTACTTAAGTATTGACCAATTTTCACACATTGACGGCGATCACTAAGATAATCCGAAAATAAGCGTAGTTGTGTTCCCCGTATCCCAAGTGCTTCGAGCTTATTCAAAAGTATAGAGCAAGATATACTATCGAAAGCTTTGGCGAGGTCTAGGAAAATCCCGATGGCGTGCATTCCCCCATCCAGACAAGCAGCTATGTAGTTTGTTAAGTGGTGTACTGCATGATTAGTCGATCTTTTTTGCCTAAAGCCGTATTGGTTCTGGGAAAGCAAGTTGTTGTCTTCAAGATATTTTATCAACCTATTGTTTATAAGTTTCTCTAAAATTTTCGAAAGTCCCGATAATACTGAGATTGGTCTGTAGCTATTTACACATGTTTTGTCTCCTGATTTAAATACAGGCGTCACTACTGCTTTTTTAAGCGACCTAGGGAATACACCTTTCTCTAAACATAATTGGAATATATAGGTTAAGGGGGGGGCAATTATATGTTTAAGACTTTTAAGTATTTTATTGGAAATGTTATCCCAGCCTACAGCACAATTTTGTTTTAATCCAGATATAATGTTTAATACTTCATTAATATCAGGACTTAGCAAAACAAAGGAGTTCAGTTTAGACGAAGGCATGAATTTATTTAACTCGGGAGGGTCGGCAGTACTATTCTGAAAGAGTTTATCAGCAAGGTTTTTGCCTGTGTTTGCAAAATGTTCGTTGACCTTGCCAATTGCTTCAAACGGGCTAGTCTCGCTGAGCAGCAAGTCTAGAGGCGGTTCAAAATATTTCGACTGAAATGTGTGATTTTTAATAAATTTCCAGACAAGCTTGCTATCTTTACCTGCTCTCTGCAGTTCACTTCTCTCATACTGGCTCTTTAATTTCTTTAAAAGGTTGTTGCAGTAATTTCTGTACCTTTTATAAGATATAGAAAGTACAATATTATCAGGCTCTAATTTAGACTTTTGGTGAAGTTTGTCTCGGTGTCTTATGCAACGTACGAGTCCAGGTGTGATCCATGGCTTTATATTTTTATATTTTCTAGGTATGGTTTTTACGGAAGTATTTCTCATTATTTTACATTGCAATAAATTAATAAAATAATCCAAGGCATCATTTGGATCGTCCGAGTTGTAAACGGGGTCAAAACAAATACTGCTTATATCACTTTTAAGGCTTTGAATGTTGACTTTAGTATAGCTGTGCATGCATTTTTTTCTAAACAAAGATAATTGTAGTGTTAATAAAACAGTCTGATGGTCGGTAAGAGTGGAGTTAGTTATTAATGTAAGGGTGGGTTTATGGGTTTTTATGATGAAATGATCCAAGCATGAGCCACTTTGGTGGGTGGGGTAGTAGTGTGCTGGTAAAAGTCCATGAAATGAACAAATATTTAAGTAGTTTTGAGCGTTAGTGTCAGTGCTCCCAGAAGCAATGTTAATGTTGATATCACCAGTTAAGATTATATTATTATATGATGAGAGGGTTTTTAATTGAATTTCAAGCGATTCTAAAAATATGTCAATGTTTTGTGAAGGTGGTCTATATATGGCTAAAATTACTGTATCCGGTTTTATTCGTATAATTAAGGAATTACAACCCGGAAAATTGGGTTGGTCTACAGATATATTTAAGTTATTTTTAGTATATATTACTAATCCATCGTTTTGGTTCAATATTATATCATTCTTATGTAGTAGGTAACCCTTAAGAGATGGTAAATGCGGATGCTGATTAGACAACCAACACTCTGTCAAGATGATAATATCACAGTTTATATCAAGAGTATGTAACAATACCTCAAAACCATTCATGTTTTTGTGTATACTGCGAATATTTTGTGTAATAATTGTGAGTAAATTATCAGTAGTCGGCACATATTGTTTACAGTCTTCGATTTCACAATGTTTAACCTCAGACACAGAAAAATTATCTAGGTTACAGAGCAACTGGTGAGACATTATTAATTAAAATAAAATATAAAAAGGTATAAGTGCTTACACTATCAATTAATACCGGCGCTCTTAGGCGCCCTCATAGTTTATAGAGTTGATGTATTTGTCCTCAGCGTATTTCCGTGCTGGGCAACTTCCATCACCAGTTTGGTGATCACTTGTCCTTTTGAAACGCTTACACGTCGCACAAGTAGGTGGTGCAGCTTTTTTGTTGCATTCCTTAAAGGTATGCCCGAGCTCTCCACAATGGTTACAGGTTGGGCTGGTTTCACGGCAATATTTAGCTGCATGTCCAAACTGCTGGCAGTTGAAGCACCTAGTCACCAGCGTGAAATCTCTAACTGGACAAGAAGTCCAGTTTATGTAGATTCTCCCTTGATTGATAAGCGCCTTTCTAATGTTAGCCGGCACCTCAAGTATATAGTTACAGGTAGGAAGGCTTTTCTTACCTGATTTGTGGCTCAGTTTTATGGTGTTGAGACAGGACTCGCGAGAAGCGCCAGGAAACCTGTCTGCCAAGTTCTGCTCGTAAATGCATTCAAGTACCTCTTTTTCAGTCAGGGCTACGGGTACACCCACAACAGTGACTCTCGGATTACGTTTAGTAGGTTCTTCAATTTTTAGGCCTGACGAGACTAATTTCTCTGACTGCTTTAGTTTCTCGATATCCCCTCTAGTTGCGGCACTAATGAGAACGCCTCCATTCCTCACTTTTCTAAGGCCCCTTACGTGCAGTTTCAGTTCCTCCGGTGAAATGATTTTTTGGACCAGAGACTTCGTTTCTTCACTAGTTTTGGTCTTGTCGCTAGGGTAGATAGCTAGGGTACTAACATTATTTGGACGGACAAACTTATCTGCACCTTTTTTCACCATATCGGCAAAGGAGGTACGTTCCTGCGTACTCAGCTTTTCTTCAACAGTGCTCTTAAATTGGCTGAGGGAGCTCGCTACATCCTGGTTTTCCTGTAGGTGCTGTATAGTGGTATGCGCAAGAATAGCTTTCTGCTTCAGAGATTGATACAGTACGGCCATCTGAGACGTTCCAGATCCGATCTTACGGCAAATATTTGTGACACGCATCTTCTGATCCGTGTTCATTTTGCCCTCTGCCACTATAGAGCAGACCTCACCTAACAGGGCATCAATACTTGTCATCCATTTCTGGATCTCCGACGTCGGTATTACCTCGCTAGGTAAATCATTTTTCTCGGGCAAAGGCGGTTCGCAGGCAGTCGGCTGATATTGTTGTGTGGGCGTTGGTGGGGGACTCCTCCGTATTAACTGGCTACGGCCAAATGGGCTTGATCCTGGGTTAGACATAGATGTTGACACAGTTACACGGTTTGAAAAATATTTTAGACCATGCTAAATACACAGTTTAAGAACAGACACAGTAGGCACTTATCACTCTCGCTCGTGACACACTTAGTGAAAAGTACTTACGCTACAAAATAATTACTTATTAGAAATTATTTATTATTTATATCTCGTACATTATGTCCAATACAAAAAACACGTCTGCTTAGTCAAACGATCAACAAATACATGTTATACAAATACATGGTATACCTGGTTCCCCGGCTATTAGTACCCGAGACATGCCACCGACAGGTGTTATCCGAGGGGATTTCTGAAAAAAAAAAAAGGGGATTAGTCAATGAGTTACTTGAAAATAAAATTATTCAAGAGTCAAACTCATCATATGCGAGTCCTATTGTTTTAGTAAAGAAGAAGAATAATGAATATCGTTTGTGCATTGATTACCGGTCATTGAATGGGAAGACTGTCAAAGATTCTTATCCGATGCAAGTAATCGATGATCAAATAGACCGTCTAAGCGATAAACGGTACTTTACTAGCTTAGATCTAAAATCTGGTTATTACCAGATTCCAATGTCCGAAGACTCTAGACACCTTACGGCATTCGTAACGCCTGACGGGCATTATGAATATACACGGATGCCATTTGGTCTGGTGAACGCCACGGCTGTCTTCCAACATATGATAAATAAAGCCTTAGGAAAGGACAGGTATGACACTCGCAATGCCATTTATGGATGATATTTTATCGGCTGCTACAACGGTTGAAGATGGCCTTAACAAGTTAGGAAAAATCTTAGAAGCGCTACGACAAGCTGGCTTGACGCTAAACTTACAGAAGTGTTACTTCTTCGAAGATACTTTAGAATACCTGGGATTTGAGGTTTCTAGAGAGGGCTTGAGACCAGGTCAGAAGAAAACAGAAGCAGTGGCTTCATTCCCTGCTCCAGCTACCGTACATCAAGTGAGACAGTTCGTTGGTTTGGAAAGCTTTTTCAGGAGATTTATTCCCAATTTCGCTAGCATTGCCAAGCCATTGACAATGCTAACCAAATTAAATACACCATGGACCTGGGGTGAAGATCAGGAGAAGGCTTTCCAACTAATTAAAGCTAACTTAACGCAGAGACCATTACTGGCATTATATAACCCAAAATATTTAACGGAGGTACACTGTGATGCAAGTAAATTGGGCCTTGGTGGAATATTACTTCAGCGTGCTGAGGACAAGTAGCCACCAGAACCTGTTGCTTATTTCAGTAAGCAGACGACAAAAGATGAGGAATTTGTTCACTCATACGAACTGGAAACTCTTGCTGTCGTGTGCTCGCTTAAACGGTTTCGTACGTATCTGATAGGTATTCATTTTAAAGTATATACAGACTGCAATGCACTGAAAACTACTTTAACTAAGAGAGATTTAGTCCCAAGAATTGCAAGATGGTTGTAGCTGCTTCAGGAATACGATTTTAGCATAGAGTATCGCCCCGAGGATCAGATGAAGCACGCTGATGCACTAAGTAGGAATGCCATAAATGAAAATGAAGCAAATGACCTGTTAGAGTGTCGAGAGTTTGAAATCATGAATGTAGAGGTAAACGATTGGTTACATACGGTACAAATGACTGACCCCGAGCTAAAAAGGATTAAACTAATTTTAGAATGGGACGAGAACAACGTTAAGGATATTGTGACCAGTTTCGTGGTTAAAATGACAAAATTTATAGACGAGTAGAAGATCAACTAAAATGGGTAGTGCCTAAGGGAGCTCGTTGGCGTATATGCCAGTTGAATAATGATGAAAGCGGCCACTTTGCATATGACAAAACTTTAGACAAAATTAAACATGATTATTGGTTTCCGAAAATGAACCAATTTATCCGAAAGTACATTTCCTCATGCTTGAACTGCGCATATGGTAAGGGTTCTACATCTAGAGTAACTGGTTATTTACATCCAATTCCCAAAGGGGATACACCATTCCATACTCTACATATGGACCACTTAGGTCCCTTCGTTAGGAGTAAAAAGGGAAACTCGTATATTCTAGGGGTAATAGATGGCTTTAGCAAATTTATCTTTATAAAACCTGTTCGAAATCTTAAGTCCAAGGCTACTTTTAATGTATTACAAGATATTTTCAATACAATTGGCATACCAAAAGTAATTATTTCGGATCGCGGAAAAATTATTGCGGGGATCAATCATGGCAAGTACAGTGGGGCCTGAATAATACGAAAAACAAAAGTACGGGTAGAACCCCAGCTGAGGCAGTTTTTGGTTTCCGCACCATCAGCAGTAATGAAGGTCCGATCATAAATGCATTAAATGAGACTCGACCTAAATGTAATCAAAATATCGAATCACCCGGACACGAGGTTAGAGCAGAAGTTCAGGAGAGCATTAAAAGGAGTCAGGACTACATGAAAAAATATTTTGATAATACTAGAAACCCAACTAAATTCTACAAAATCGGTGATCTAGTTATGATTGCAAACCATCATAATCCTGCTGATGGTAAAAGAAAGAAATTGCGTCCCAAATTTCGTGGCCCTTTTAGAGTAACTGGCGTTCTGGACAATGACAGATACGAGATCAGTAGCATAGACGAACTCTCTAAGAGAAAGTATAAAAGTATTTATCCATCTGACCAACTAAAAAGGTGAATAACGTTTAGTTTCCAAAATGACTCGGATAAAGATAATTTGGTATCCAGTGATGAAGGCCAAAATGAGAATTAAAATGCTTTATTAAAATTATGCCAGATGCATTCATTAGTTTATTGATAGGATAGGATGAATCGATTAAGCTGGGTTGTTTGCCCTTGATATATATGTTACATAATGATATTTTAATTGATAATGGGCGTTTTGTTTAATATTTAGAGTAATGTATGTCTGTTATACATAGGCAACCCAAGTCTCCTTTTCGCTTCCATTCTTTCCGTCCTCTTCTGATATTGCAGAGACCAGATAAAACCAATAAGACTGATGACCAGAAATATACGGTAATTATATCATGGTACTCAACTATTGAACATGCAGGAAAGTGAAAGTTACCGGAGTTCAAGCGGTACGCACCACTAGTAGTCTCAGGACAGTGAAGGATGCCGATGTTTAAGCGGTGCTCACTGACTGATGGTGGGTGTAGGATGCCGAAGTACACTATTGAACCAAAAAAAAAAAGTGAAGGATACCGGAGTACAAGCGGTGCGCATCACTAATGGTCTCAGGACAGTGAAGGATGCCGATGTTTAGGCGGTGCTCACTGACTGATGGCCGGTGTAGGATGCCGAAGGTGTAGGATACGAACGGCACTCACAAAGTAAATTATGCCAAGGTGGAAGCGGTATTTGCTCCTGTGGCACTGTGGCAATAGATGCTGGAATTAACCTGGTTTTGTATATATTTATAATTTCTCATTAAATCATAACAAGTGGTATTGAGAAAACTATACTATTGTTAAATGTATATTTATAGTTAAAATCTATACGTACACACAAGCTATAAAAAGTTTTATTGCAAAACCGGCATATTAAGTTGAAATTGACATTAGATTACAGTAATATGTTGATCTTTTATCTATAACAATAATAGTTATTATTTATTGGTCCTTATTTGCTTCAGAATGAACGAGAATGAAGGTAAATACTTTAGTAACGTTAAAAGCCAAATAAACACTTATATTAAAATAAACTTCCAGGTTACCAGTAAAGGAAATTGGACATATTGGTTAAAGCAAAGACCTAATCAATCACTGCACGTCAATACCAGAAGATTAACAAGCAAATTATGGAGTAGGAAGAGGCGATTATGTTGCACCTTGTTTTACTCTAATTTTTGAGTAGAATAGACTTACATATCTATTCTAAACATCATAACAGCATGGGACTGTTACACTTCAACAATTTAATGTTGATGTACTACTTAACTTGTCATCATTTAATTTAAATAAAGTAGGTATATTAATACATAATTCATAATTATGATCACTTATGCTATATTACTTAAATTTAATGTATTTAATAGCTTACATGTCATACATTAAGTAGCTCATATTAATATTTTGGAAAAGTACCTAAGCTCTTATTTTGTTTTGTTTTTGTATAATTAAGCTCAAAAAGCCTCTGGTGTTATAGGTTTAGTATAGATGTGTTAACTGATGATCATGCTGAATTAAACTAATACAATTGATAAGAGTTACTTAAATTTATGATTTTGTAAATGTGCTACTATTATTGGTTATGATGGGCAAATTGGTTATACCTAGTAAATGTAACGATTGATAGCAATATTTTGCATAAAATCTATATTTCTAAGAAGTACCGAGTAACATGTTTGTGGGGTAACATTCACAATTCAAAAACATTTTTTTTTTCTTTTTATATTGGGACTAATCCCACCCACACGCCCACCGCTGTAACTCCTGTACACCAGAATCCACAGCAGTGACCCACGGACACACCGAGTTATGACACTCGGGAAGTCCCAGGAAGAAATTAAACTGTCTTGGAACCCGCAACGAAATTAATCAGAAGAAAATTGGAGGAGTTGGAAATACAGTAAATCCACTTCCCTCCTTAGCAAAGCGGGAGACAAAATGAAGTAAAATGGGCATACACCCTTTTAAACAGGGAAGCACCACGGCCACAAATATTACGGGTCCTACGTGAGCTATGTTTGATTTCTATAATATGTATGGCAGAATCGCCTAAACGCACGGAAATTCACCCTAGTTGACACAAGATCCGCATAGTATACCGCCTCAGATGTCACCTGCAAGCTATTCAGCATTATATTACGTTCATTATACCAAAGACTACATTCCCAGAGGATATGATGAGCAGACTGTTCATAGTGAGAGTTAGGTGTTGAGCATTGACACAATGGTGACTCGACTCTTAAAGTTACCATGACCCGTAAGAAATTGAGCGACACAGTGATCCACCTCAAGCCATATCCTCGACAACCGTTCGCGAACAGATGGAAAGAATTGGTAAAGATGGCGCCTCTTGGATGATTCATCCCAGCGTCATTATAGACATCGGGCTGCTGTTGAAGCAATCTTGTAATTTTACCTCGATCCCGCGCGCCCAAAAAATCGCAATCCATGTTTTGTTGTCATGAATAGTACATGGCTGCACGTCTCTGCACCTCGACATCGACCGGAAGCACACCCGCCAACACCGGCAAAGCCTCAGTGCTAACCGTCCTATATGCCTTACACAAGAATATCAGTGCAAGTCGTTGGCCTTGTAACAGTTTGCGACGGACAGCGCCTACGGTCGCCCTATCGGCCCATACAGGTGCACCGTAGCACATAGAACCTAAATAAGTAGCTCCGTATATGATCTTTAATGTATTAAATGATAGACCCCATGTCGCAGTTGATATCCTTGTCAATGCACAGAAACTCTTTTTAGACTTTTCATTAACTATTTTAATATTTTCGATAAATGAAAAGTTTCTTTCTAAAACTAATCCTAGGTAACACACTGAGGTTTTATTTTTTACAGTAACATTGTCAAATCTAATGCTTGGCGGTGATTTGAGGTTACCTTTTAAAAGTAGCTGGAAGGTTTTATTGGGTGCAAAAGTTAAGCGATTACGTTCACCCCATTGAGATATCAAGTTCAAACATCTATTGGCTGATCTCTCAAGTCCCGCCCTAGTATCAGATTCCACCAGTAATAAGCCGTCATCAGCATACGCGTTCAGAATACATCCGGATGGTATTGGTATCGCAAGAAAATCGTCGAAGCCGATATTCCACAAGTATGGACCTAGCACCGATCCGATATGAAAATCATTTACTTGTCAGAGAAGTTACACAATTATAATTAAGTATAATACTTGTTTAAGATTTAGTAAGGTAACAGGCTACCCATGCAATCAACAAAGATAATATGTACACAATTAAATACTGGATACGCCTACAAGTGTATAGGAACATACCAGTTGTCAAATGGCCGGACTGGGATTAGGGACATTCCGAGTGTTAGCAAATACGTATTATGGGAAGATAAACCGGAAACGATACCGATATAATGATTATGAAGTCTTGTCGAATATTGTTTAAATATAAGTTCCAATTTAATATTATGTTAATTTTAAATAGTTATTTTAAATAATTAATACTATCAAAATCGATAACTTTAAAATTGTAATTGATAATTCAATATGGGAATGATTTTGACTCAATTGACACGCCGTTGGACAGAATGGCGTGTGTGGC